TTCCTTCCTTCCTTCCTTCCTTCCTTCCTTCCTTCCTTCCTTCCTTCTGTGGTGGTGCAGTGGTAAGAATGCAGTACTGCAGACTAACTCTGCCCACAGCCAGGAGTTCGGTCCTGACCGGCTCAAGGTTGACTCAGCCTTCCATCCTTCCGAGGTAGGTAAAATGAGCACCCAGATGGTTGGGGGCAAGAGGTTGATTCTATAGAGAGGGCTGTAAAAGTACTATTGTTATTGCTATTCACGGAATTAGCCCCAGGATCTGGCTTCACCCAACGGTTAAGTTCAATAAGCTACCTTATGGCTCAATAGATGAATCTATTGGCTGTGTTTGCGTACAATATAACACAGAAAACTGTGTGGGATGAGTTTTTACAACCAAAGAGGCAGGAAGACCAATAAGCCCGTGGGATGCAGGACTGTTCCAAGGCCTGGACCTCTCCCAATTTAATCAACAGAGTTATTATAACTCACAACGCTGGGTAGCCTCGCCATAAGGTGTTAGACTAGCACTGATTAGACCCAGGCTGTGGCTTTCATTTGCCCAGGGAATGTGTGGGTGTGATGGAAAGATGAAACAAATCCCTGCAAATGGGAAAGAGATAAATGGAGCGTCAAGCGAGTAGGAGGTTCAAAATAGGTTCCTCAGTGCTGGGGAAAAAAAATGAAGCAGGACGAAGAAATTAATTTAAAATAATCCTGCCTCCTCTGTGTTCATTGTAAGGTCTGTTAGAAAGAACCACAGATGGGCCTAGAAAAAAAAAACTATTTCAGGTAGTCCTTGATTTATAGCAGTTCGTTTAGTGATGTGTTCAAAGTTTACAACAGCTCTGGAAAAACTGGCTTATTTCTGGACCTTTTACTGTTTTCCTTGCCTTCTTGGAAGGGCTTAGACGGAGCGATGTTGGGACCATCTCTGTCATCCCAAGTGCCCAGAGAAGATATAAATGCCACTTATAATAAAAATGACCCAAGAGTTTGGACGTTAAAGACAAGGGATGAAATAGCAGCCAGTCAGTTAAGGGGTGCTTTGGTGCAAATAATTTCTTCAAAAAAAGAAAGTAAGGTTTATTAAATCACAAAGTGTCCTCATTCACAGCCTGCTTCTCCAGTCACCCCAGATTGTAAGCCAGAGATCTTCAATCCTTTAGATTCCTTTTTTTGAAAGAGGGCCTGGAAACTACCGTTAGCAGTTATGATTATGCTTTGGCAGGAAAACTAAAGGTAAAGAAATCCCTGTGAATTTTACTCTGCTAGTTGTTGCTGATCCTACTTCATCTCTGTTTCAAGGACATTGAGCCAGCGTTGTCCGAAGACATTTCCGTGGTCATGTGATCAGCATGATGTCCTAGAACAGGGGTCTGCAACCTTGAACACTCAAAAAGCCATTTGGACCCATTTCCCACAGAACAGAAAACACCGGGAGCCAATAATTTAACAACCAGTGTGACTGAGTGGGCGTGGCCAACTCGACATCACTCACTCCCACTCAGTCACCTCCTCCTCTGGAATATGGAGTGAGTCTCCATCCGTCGCCATCACCCTTACCTTCTTAGGCCAGGCAAGGAATGACAGGAGGGGAGGGCGAGGGGCGGGGCCAGCCAGTGGTGGGATCAGCCGACAGGGAGCCACAGCAGAGGACCAAAAGAGCCGCATGTGGCTCCAGAGCCATAGTTTGCAGATCCCTGTCCTAAAGGGCTTTTCCTTCCCACCAAAGTGGTACCTATTTATCTACTTGCATTTGCAAGCTCTCGAATTGCTAGGTTGGCAGGAGCTGGAACGAGAATGGGATCTCACCCCGTCTCGTGGCTCTGGATCTCAAACCTGGGTTGCCGGCTTTCCAATTGACAAGTCCAGTGTCTTAATTACTGAACTATCGTGCTGCTACTTCCCCCGTACAATGGCAGGAAAGGTTAATGGATAATTGCAACAGCTACCTTATTGTACCAACAAACAGAACAGGATCTTGTGGAATGATGGACAGCTTTGAACGTAAAGATTCCAGGCTAATGTTGCGGTAGTCGATGCCATCAATGATGATTGTGCCAGATGTTGGTTCCACGAGTCGAAACAGAGCAGCTCCTAAAGAGGACTTTCCTGCAAGATTTGAACAAGGCCAACATGGGTCCTTTTTAAATGAGCTTTTCCATCATTAAAAAAAAAAAAATCAGAAAAATGTAAGAAGAAAATTATGTATCTAATAGTACATGTATTGACGGCGGCTAAAATTATATGCACACTATTAGAAAATGAAATCATGCCTCCAGAAATAGAAATAATAAGAACAATTATGGCATGTGCAGAATCAGATAAGTTAACTTTAGAAATAAAAGACAAAGGAGAGTCTAAATTTTATAAAACATGGAATAAATTTTATCAATGGTTATATAGTAGAAGACAAGGTTGAAATATTAGTAGTTATGATTAGATTAATTAGTAATTAATATATTAAACGAGATTGTAAATGATGGAGTAAAATGTATATATGTATAACAAGGATAAGTTGGATGTATTGTGATGTATCTGCATAATTATAATTAAAATTAAATTTAAAAAATATATATGCCAAGCCAAGGATGCCAACATCCAAGAGCCAAGAAATTTTTTTTTCTGGAAATCAAGGATTTTTCAGTAAGCGAAAGAGAATTTAGACTGCTATTTTGATTTCACACCAGTGTCCAAAAGTCTCAGTGCAGGTTTAAGCTTTCAAAGCTTCACATTTTAGTAGAGTATTAAGCTTTCAAAGCTTAAAAAAAATGGCACTAAACCTTCTGGGACACCCTCTTTGTGCTTCTAGGTTTAGAAAGTGTCAGTCGGATGTGGAGAAATATTTGATTGAAGAACCTCCCGGTCTTCCAATAGGCTGCGTCCAACCCCAGAATGGATCTGTTTTGAGTTAAGAACCATCTTATCCTTTCAAGGTTGGATTATTCCACGATGGAAATTTGTGCAGATCTCTATAAGGCAAGGTGACCTTGAGGGAACTCACATTCTTCTGGAAGGTAACAAGAGAGCATTTTTCATCTGTCATCAGGAATGTATTTTGGAGGAGGGAATAATTTTTTCTACTTCTGCATATGCCAGGATGTGTTGACCTAAAGTCTCTTCCGTCCTTATTTTCCACTAGAACCGGGGTCTCAAACTTTGGCAACTTGAAGACTTGTGGACTCCAGAATCCAAATCCCAGGATTCTGGCTGGGGAATTTAAGAAGCTGAAGTACACAAGTGTTAAAACTGACAAGTTTAGAGATCCCTATGCTTGAAAAACTACTGGAAGAACACAGAATAAATAGTTAGTGGAAGATTTGGGAAAGAGAGACTGAAGAGAGAGAGGGAGGGAGGGGAAGAAAGAGAGAGAGAAAAAGAGAGAAAAAGAGAGAAGAGAGAGAGAGAGAGAATGAGAAAGAGAATCATAAACCTGAACAACAGTTAAAATTTGTTTGAAGGCTTGCCGAAGTGCAGCTGGTCCTAAATATCATCATTTCAGCAGTTAGAAGCAAAATGGATTCAAACAATCTGATAGATTCCGATTAATTCAAATTCTTTTCATTGTTTTCTTTTGGGTTGGGGAAAATGCTTTGCTGTAACCCGAGGGAATATGATACAAGCCTTGTGTAAGTAGGGGAAGCTTGTATATCATTATATAAAATTCCACATGTAAAAATCTATATGATTAGTCCAATGCTTTTGCATTAAACCAAAACTACCTTGGAAGGAAATATCCTAAAATAGGTGTGGATTAATAACTGCAGTATAGGAAACGGTTGGTTGATGCAAACAATTCTATACCACAATATATCTAGGAAGTTATTTTAACATTTTGTCAATTGAATGTAGGGGCTTCTGGTGGCATTGGTACCATAGACTTCACATCTATTACCCATAATGCCTTCTAACTGAATTCACAGTTGCGTAAGTCCCACTGATACTACTTCCATGGTCTGTAAGAAGGAAATGTCCTTATAGTTAGGGAACCCACAATTGAATCCATTAAACATTATCATCATTTTTTTCCAGGTCTGCAGGAAATGTTCATTCCCATCCCCTATTTGTAAGACTGACCAACTGCAAGATGGATGTCAGCCTTGGAAGATAGTTCAGACAAGAAGCAAAATTAGGAGTGTTAGCTCTACTTTATCATAAAACAGAATCTGGCAAGTTTGAAAGTTCATTTCTCCCTACCTCACCTATACAATCCAAGAAAATAAACAGGGTCCTTCTGAGAAGTTTGCTGTGTTCCCACATATTCTGAGGATTCATTTAACTCATCTGACTGTTACTTAATCTCTTGGTTCTTCCTCCTGTCTCCCAAGGTCCTTCTCACAGACCATTACAAAACCAAAGAATGCCATACCATTTTTTGGTAAAAGGAAGAACTGTATCTGGGATGAATTTTTTTTTTTTAAATTGTTCAGTACAATGTAGGATCTCCATCGGTCAGGTCAAAAAGTTATGTGTTCACTTTCTCGGTCTTTACAATGCCTCTCCATTTATACCCATACCTGAGTAAATAATAACGAAACAGGCATTTCATTATCTTTACAATGTACAAAGCAATCGACAGAGTAGATTATACCTGAACCTGTCCGGCCAATTATCCCAATTTTTTCTTTAGCATGAATGTGGATGTTGATGTCATGGAGTACAATAGGACTGTTTTCTCGGTATTTCATCTGATAGTTCTTAAAAATGATTTCCCCCTGATCAGGCCAGCCTGGAGGAGGGGTGATCACAGGAGGGATCTCTGATCCTTCAGGAGTGCATTTCTGGTGGAAACAAAGAAAGAGCATCTGGAATCCATATCTGTCAGCCTTTTGTGGTAGACAAGAATCAATTATAAGCTTTATTATAACAGTTACTATAATACGTGGTATTATAAGGTTACCATAACAGAATATAGGTAGTCCTTGACTTACAACAGTTTGCTTACTGACCCTTCAAAGTTACAACAGCACTGAAAAGTGTGACTTACGACTGTTTTTCATAGTTATGACCATTGAGGCATCCCATGGTCACATGATCCAAATTCAGACTGGGAATTGACTTGTATTTATGATGGTTGGAGTGTCCTGGGATCATGTGATCACCTTTTTGGGCAACCTACTGACAAGCAACATCAATGAAGCCATACCTCATTTAACAACCCGGTTACTAATTGATCAACTGCAGTGATTCACTTAACAACAGTGCAAAGAAAAGTTGTAACCTGGGGCAAAAGTCCCTTAACACATGTCTCACTTAGCCGCCTAAATGTCAGTGTTCCAGCAACCCTCCAATCCAACCAGTAACTCCAGGACAGACATTTCTCAAAGTTTCCTTTATTGGGATAGTAACTGGCACATCTGTGGAATCCCGAATCTGAAAGTTTCGGGCTTCCTTGAAAAAGTCAAAACTACAAATCCATTTCCCCCTTAGCCATCACCACATCCCATGATCCAATCACCGTCTGTCCCAAAGTAAGATTCTGTTCTGACCCACGCCCTTTTCCAACAAATCAAACACAACCCAAAAGGAACAGAAGCCTTGCAATGCTTTTGCAAAATGATTAGCTATGATAAGCACAAGCCTTGCCAAAATGTGCAAGACTTGCCGAAAGATAACAGACAAGAAATAATTTGCAATACAAGAATCTTCAAATACAAATTCAGGATACTGGAATGTCCACGAGGCTGGGGTTTCAGAACGTCTTTGCCTTCTGCAAAGTACACTCGTTCACAGCTGGCTTTTATCTTCTTGAAGGAGGGGCCATTACCTTTCAGCCTTACTCCTGAGTCCTCCATGCTGTTGTAGTTGGTCTTTCCTCCGAGCAATCCTGCATGCATGCACACTTGGCACAGGCTCCTCAGGAACTTCCTCATTGCTGCTGCCAGCCCTCACAATCTCTGAAGGCAGCAGTCCACTCCCTAATGGTCCTGGCCCCCTCATCTGAGTCCTCACTCTCCTCACCCATCTGCACCTGCTGCCGGCTAACCATAACAGATTCCCATTTCATTATGCGCCACATTCCATGACCTTGAACCAATAAAATAATTTTATTTCATCTCACTAGTTATACTCAAATGAATTCCTCCCTCCCACTTTCTCAGGCTCAATTGTGGCAGCATCGAATCTCAATATGGCTTCCAAAGCTGACACTAAATTTTGGGCTCAATTGTGTGGTAACTCGAGGGCTACCTGTATTGCAAATCTGAATGCACGTCCTTCCTCTTTTCTTTTATCTTCTACAGAACTAGGGAGCATCAAAAATGAGACGCTTTCTGAATTTACATTTCTGCTTTCAACTTAAATTTCTTTTGTTTGACCGGTTTCTTATTTGGGCCACTTTCCTTCTGTTTCTCAAGGTTGTTGCTACTGCCCGTTAGAGTATCAATCAATAACTTTAGTTAGAGATTGGAATTACCAGAAGTTGAACATTTCCATAATTTGAGACTCATGCTATTGGTTGGTTATTTATGGCATTTGTTCCAAGAGACATTCTAAAAATAAAATGGGTGGGGGGATAAATGTATGAAAAAGAACCCTTCCTCCTTTTCTTTCACCTATTACTTAAAACTAATGTTTTACGTAATTATAGCAGTGGATACTTGACATTTGAGTCACTTTCAGTTAAACGAAGAAATGGAAAATTAGATCTATAAACTAGTAAATGCCAACTCGCTGTATTTACACCAGCACTTCAACCATGACAACAACAACTTCTATTGATTTATGCATCGTGTTGTGGCTTTCTGCAAATATTATTTTTGTGTTTGGGGTGCATGAAAAACAACATGGAAACCTCAGCATTCGTTCCTCTGACGGGGAACCTTTCTTACCACGATGTATTCGGTTATCTGCTCCACAGAAGTAAATCTGGCTTGCACTTCAATGCACGATCTCACGCATACTTGAAGAAGTCCACTTAGCTAGAAAAAACAACGGGGAAAGAGAGATCGTAGGAAACTTTACTCTATGGAGAGAAGATCTCCTGAAGGGACAAATCCAATCAGTTCCAGCACAGTTTCATAGGTACAAACAAACCACAGTACTGTAGATTTGCATGAGTCGACAGCAGAGCAGAGGTGGCATTCAGCAGGTTCTGACCAGTTCTGGAGAACCGTTGGTAGCGGAAATTTTGAGTAGTTCGGAGAACCAGCAAATCCCACCTCTGACTGGAGATTTTACAGTATCCTTCCCCTGCCACACCCACCAAGCCATGCCCACAGAACCGGTAGTAAAAAATTTGAATCCCACCACTGCAGCAGAGGTGGTATTCAGCTGGTTCTGACCCGTTCTGGAGAACCGGTAGTGGACATTTTAAATAGTTTGGAGAACCAGCAAATGCTGCCTTTGACTGGCCCCACCAACCCCATCTATTCTCTGCCTCCCAAGTCCCAGCTGATCGGTTGGGTCTTCTTTGGTTGCCCTGCGTAGGAGAACAGAGCTGGGAAGCAGGTTAGTGGGGTGGGGAGGGAATGGAGATTTTGCAGTATATCCTTCCCCTGCCGTGCCCACCAAGCCACGCCCACAGAAATGGTAGTAAAAAAAAATTGGAATCCCATCACTGGTAGGCAGCATATGCACATGGCCTCAATAAATAAATCAGGAATGAATTTGAAAGGGGATTAGAGAAATCCATGAAGGATAAGCCTCTTGGCTTATCAAAAATCCCATTTCACAAACTAGAAACCTCTTGACTCCTATTGTGAGTGAACAGTAGCCAGGGTGTGGCTGTACACGTATTCTGTTTAAGAAATTCTGGCCACTATTATGACACCAGAATATTAGATAAATGCAGATACGATCCAACATGGAACTTCTCGTCTTCTGGAAATCGCGTGAATGTAATTTGGGATTTCCTTTTGGGGAAATGTGCTGAAAGGGTGGATCAACGGGAGTAGATCAGTTATTAAAATTATGATTAAAATTGCATGAAAAATGTACAAATAGCCTTTGAGTTACAACCACAACCGAGCCCAACATTTATGTTGCTAAGTGAAACATTGGCTTAGGGAGTGTTGCCCCATGTTATGACTTTTCTTGCCACAGTTGTTACATGGATCACCATATTTGTTAAGTTAGGAACGCAGTTGTTAAGTGAATCTGGCTGTCAAGCCCGAAATTGACATATGCATAGCCATTTTATTTAGCCTTATTATATATTCCTTTTCTTTCTTTCTCTTTGCTGGTTATGGGGGTGGGGGGGTTTCAGGATTGCCGCATTCCTAAGGTGGGAGGAGTGGAGAGAGAGAGAGAGAGAATTGTTTAGGCTGGGTGGTTCTTCTTCCCATGGGAACAAAAGTTGACCCTGCTGAGACCTGGAGGTAGAGACTGATGACACCAAGCAAACGTTGATTTACTTCTATTGGGGAATGTGACTTTTGGTGGCTGTTTCTAACTTCCAATATTATGTGGTATAATTCCGGGTTGTGTCAGATCCAGAATTACAACAGATGTTGCCAATTTGATGCTTTCCTAAATAAAAGAAATTGTTTTGGAAGATGGACTTTGCTCTTTTCTTTTCAAATGGATTTCATCACTTGGAAAACTGACACTGGCTTTCCCCCATTGACTTTGCTCGTCCAAAGTTCGCAAAAGGGGATCACGTGACCCCGGGACACTGTGACCGTCATAAATACGAACCGATTTCCAGGCCTCTCGATTTTGATCAGCTGAGCATGCTGCAACGGCCGTAAGTATGAAAAACGGTCATCCAACTCACTTTTTCCAGTGCCGTCGTAACTTTGAACGGTCACCAAATGAACAGTCATAATTGGGGGATACCCATGCAGTTGTAATTTTTATTGTCCTTAAAATTGCTGTCATGCAAGCAAAATACCTTAAAAGAAAAGGCAGCTCACCTGTGGCAAATTGTTTGCTGAGTCCCGTGATGGGAAACCTATGGCACGTATGCTGGAAGTGGCACACAAAGCCATTCCTACTGGCATGCGAGCAGTCACCTGGAACTGCTCCACTGCACATGTGCGCATGCCTCCCGCCAGCCAGCTGATCATCCAATATCTGCCGTGCATGCGTGGGGGTGGGCGGGGCATACGGGAGGGGTCATGCGTGCATGCGCAGGGGACGGGGGAGGTGTCGCGCGTGCATTATGAGTACAGGCACTCGTGTGCACTTCTGGGACGCAACGATGAAAAGCTTAGCCATCACTGGCTTAGGCCATTTGCATTATTGAGCATCATTGGCTCAATGCAGAATATATTGGCCAGGACAGGATGAAGCCACGATATCAAAGGACAGAGCAGGTTTTGTTAGTGTTTGGGGATAAACCCCTGAGCTGAGTGCACAGCAGCAGT